GAGAGACTTCCTCAGTCTGAGGTGCTGTATTCAGCTCAGTCTCTTAAATAGCACCTTCTCAGAGTGGATCAACCAGTTTTGCTGCTGACAACCAAAACCAGCTGATCACAGGCTCAAGAAGGACCATCAGCCTAACAATGGATTATTAGCACACTGATGGCTGTTTACTATTCACAGAGGTCTGAGTGATACTAGCAATCACAGCATTGTAAGAGGGGGACAATTGAACACGTAGGCCTCCACACCTGTTTAATGATGGACGATTTCTTTTCACAAAGATGGCCTCCTTTACTCCTCTCTCAAACCATCGTTCCTCTCTATCCAGGATGTGAACATCTTCATCCCTGAAAGAGTGACCGCTGGCCTGGAGATGAGTGTAGACCGCAGAGTCCTGGCCTGATGATGTTGATCTTCTGTGCTGGACCATCCTTTTGGCCAGTGGCTGTTTAGTTTCCCCGATGTAAGACTGATCACAGCCCTCCTGACACTGAACAACATACACAATATTACTCCGTTTGTGCCAGGGGACTGGATCTTTGGGATGAACCAGTCTTTGCCGTAATGTATTTTGGGGTTTAAAAGCCACTGGGAGGTTATAATTAGAAAATAAGCGTCTCAGTTTCTCTGATACTCCCTCAACATATGGAATGACCACTGGTCTGGGTCTGGGTTCCTCCTTTTCAACTGTTGGCTGACTGGAGTCCTGTTTGGGTTTCTTCTCTGCTTTCAAGAAGGCCCAGTTAGGATATTCACATTGCTCTAGAGTGTGTCTTGTGTGGGATTTCTCCTTCTGCCTGGCTCCTGAGTTAGTGGGGACGCTGTCTGCTCTGTGATACAGAGTCCTGATGACTCCTAACTTGTGCTCCAAAGGGTGATGGGAGTCAAACTGCAAATACTGGTCTGTGTGGGTGGGTTTGCGGTACACCTCAGTTTGCAAATGTCCTCTATCAGAGACTGAGACCTCACAGTCCAAGAAAGCCAACTTGCCATTTTTTACATCTTCTCGTGTGAACTTGATGTATTTATCCACAGAGTTGATGTGGTCAGTAAAATGTTGGACTTCCTGAGATTTAATTTTAATCCAGGTGTTGTCAACATACCTGAACCAATGACTTGGTGGTGTCCCTGTAAAGGACGTCAAGGCTCTCTTTTCTACCTCCTCCATGTACAGGTTGGCAACAATAGGAGAAACTGGAGACCCCATAGCACACCCATGTCTCTGCCTATAATATTGCTCCCCATATGTGAAGTAGGTTGACTGCAGGCACAGTTTCAAGAGTTGACACAGTTGTTCTGTGGAAAGTGTGGTCCTACTGCTCAGAGTGGTGTCTGCACAGTGATTTTGAACCAGAAAGACTATCATGAGAAAGTTATGACACTCCTTAGTGACTTAAACACTTATGAACCTCTGAAAAGAGATCCAGGAAGTGGTTACAAGAAGAAATTGATAGATTGCCTGAAAATTTTGGAGCAGGACAAGGCTATTGACCGTTTTCTGTACCACAGACTGTACCCAGGGGAGGCCACACCTAGTCTGTATGGTTTACCTAAAATCCACAAACAAGGTGTACTTTTAAGACCAATTGTTAGCATGATTAACTCTGTCACTTACAATGTTTCCAAATATCTGGCGTCTGTACTCATCCCTTTAGTTGGCAGCTCAGAACACCACATACAGAACACCATGGACTTTGTGGATAAGGTGAGGGATGTCATCATGGAGACTGATGAAACAATGGTCTCTTTTGATGTCACATCACTCTTTACGTGCATTCCTGTTGATGCAGTAGAGGTGGTCAGTTTAAAATTAAAATCAGACACCACTCTGAGCAGCAGGACCACGCTTTCCACAGAACAACTGTGTCAACTCTTGAAACTGTGCCTGCAGTCAACCTACTTCACATATGGGGAGCAATATTATAGGCAGAAACATGGGTGTGCTATGGGGTCTCCAGTTTCTCCTATTGTTGCCAACCTGTACATGGAGGAGGTAGAAAAGAGAGCCTTGACGCCCTTTTCAGGGACACCACCAAGTCATTGGTTCGGGTATGTTGACGACACCTGGGTTAAAATTAAATCTCAGGACGTCCAACATTTTACTGACCACATCAACTCTGTGGATAAATACATCAAGTTCACACGAGAAGATGTAAAAAATGGCAAGTTGGCTTTCTTGGACTGTGAGGTCTCAGTCTCTGATAGAGGACATTTGCAAACTGAGGTGTACCGCAAACCCACCCACACAGACCAGTATTTGCAGTTTGACTCCCATCACCCTTTGGAGCACAAGTTAGGAGTCATCAGGACTCTGTATCACAGAGCAGACAGCATCCCCACTAACTCAGGAGCCAGGCAGAAGGAGAAATCCTACACAAAACAGGCTCTAGAGCAATGTGGATATCCTAACTGGGCCTTCCTGAAAGCAGAGAAGAAACCCAAACAGGACTCCAGTCAGCCATCAGGTGAAAAGGAGGAACCCAGACCCAGACCAGTGGTCATTCCGTATGTTGAGGGAGTATCAGAGAAACTGAGACGTTTATTTTCTAAACATAACGTCCCAGTGACTTTTAAACCCCAAAATACATTACGGCAAAGACTGGTTCATCCCAAAGATCCAGTCCCCCGGCACAAACAGAGTAATATTGTGTATGCTGTTCAGTGTCAGGAGGGCTGTGATCAGTCTTACATCGGGGAAACTAAACAGCCACTGGCCAAAAGGATGGCCCAGCACAGAAGATCAACATCATCAGGCCAGGATTCTGCAGTCTACACTCATCTCCAGGCCAGCGGTCACTCTTTCAAGGATGAAGATGTTCACATCCTGGACAGAGAGGAACGATGGTTTGAGAGAGGAGTAAAGGAGGCCATCTTTGTGAAAAGAAATCGTCCATCATTAAACAGGTGTGGAGGCCTCCGGGTTCAACTGTCCCCCTCTTACAATGCTGTGATTGCTAGTATCACTCAGCCCTCTGTGAATAGTAAACAGCCATCAGTGTGCTAATCATCCATTGTTAGGCTGATGGTCCTTCTTGAGCATGTGATCAGCTGGTTTTGGTTGTCAGCAGCAAACTGGTTGATCCACTCTGAGAATGTGCTATTTAAGAGACTGAGCTGAATACAGCACCTCAGACTGAGGAAGTCTCTCGGATGAGAGACAAAACATTTCTATATTTTTTTGCTTTGTTTTTTTTTTTGTTTTTTTTTTTAATGTCCAGAGGACCAGATTGAACTTTTTTGGAAAGTTGCCAAGGTTTTCCAGCTTCTACAGTCTGCATTTGACATCATTCAGTCTGACTTTTTCTATCTCAAGCTAGTACTAAATGCTGACAAAACCAAAGGGATGTTGTTTTCCAACAGAAAGTCGATGCTAGCAACTCTTTCTCATATCTCATTCATGCATGGTGTTCCTATTGAGTTTGTAGAATCTTACAAATACTTGGGAATTTGGTCGATGCACATCTCTCTTTTAAACCACATACTAAAAACTTGATAAAGAAACTGAAATTAAAACTGGGTTTCTTTTTCAGAAATAGCTCTCTGAATGCCAGAAAACGCCTTGTAACTGCTACCTTCCTACTGGCCATTGAATATGGTGACCATATTTACATGATTGTTCCTGCCAACTCCTTGCAGATGTTGGATGCTGTCTACCACGGTGTGCTAAGATTCATAACTGGTTGTAACTACCGTACCCATCACTGCACCCTGTACTCCTTGGTCAGTTGGTCATCATTATCTGCATGTAGACTCTCACACTGGTTCATTTTCATCTACAAATCCCTCCTTGGTCTGCTACCTTCTTATATCTTCTCCCGCATGTCACGTCGTCAGTACAGTTACAACATGTGCTCTCAGGACATCATTACCTGCAGCATTCCTTCAGTGCAGACTGAACTTGTCAAAAAGGCCTTTTCCTACTCAGCTCCTGCACCTGGAACACCTTGCAACAGGAACTGAAGTTGTCCTCCTTGATTTCTTTACAGGCTTTCAAACATTTGATAATGTCAATAGAAAAATCAAAGCAAATATGTTCTTGTTTTTAGTATTTCACCCTGTTTTATGGCACCCTGATTTATTGGTTTATACACTATTCTTATTTTAACTGCATTTTTACTGTAATTTATTGTTGTCATGATCTACTGTTTTGTTGTCTGTACTTTATATATTCTGTCTGGAACAGGTCTCTCTTGTAAATAAGTCCCCGTGGCTCAATGAGACTAGCCTGTATAAATAAAGGTTGAATGAAAAAAATTAGTCTAAATCCATAATTTATCATTTGGGAGGATTAACCCCACTGAACACCTGTGGGATCAGCTTAGGCATACTGTTTGTTGCAGAGTGACCAACATAACCACAATGACTATTACTACTAATACTATACTACTAATACTACTAATGCTGGTTAAAGAATAGGGTGCCATCCCACAGCTGTGTGCAACCAAGCTGGTGAGCAGCAAGAGGAAGAGGTGCCAGACTGTGGTGGCTGTGTATGGTTCTCCATGCTACTGAGACCTCTCTTAAATGGAACTTGTTAAATTGCCAATAAATCTTTTTTTTTATTTTTATTTTTTATCAGACCTCACTCACCCATTCCTGTAAAGGACACCAAACAATAGTTGATGGCAGGATAAGTTGTTCAGCATTAGCGGAAAAGATCTAGCAAGATTTTCATGGGCGCAATTTAAATACAAACTCTACTGCTCAACCCACAAATGGAATTCCCTTCCTCCTTGTGGTACTACTGGGAAATCAACAATATTCTTAATTATATAGATTTGTAACAAAGAAGCATTGTTACAACAAAGAAAGAATGAACCAAACACAAATGTCTTCACTTTTTGTACTAACTTTATTTTTACAGATCTGATCTCTCTGAAACTCTTGCTGCACTTATTGTTCAAAGTCATCTCTGATGCACACTGACCTGGATATTGAGTCTTCCTCTGTGAGGGCCCAGACCAGTTCTCTGGTAGGACGAGGCATGCATCTGGCTGTCATCAACTCGCAGGGACTCCAGGCCGATAGGAGGGCAGGCTGTTTGTACAAACAAACAAACAAACAAACAAACATTTAAGAGATAGAACTACTGTTTCTTTACAAGACTGCTGATTAACGGTGTAGTCTACATTTTTGTAGTAGGTATACTGCGCTTAGAAACCCAAGTACATTGGTAATTGTCAATTTATTTTGATTTTAAGCATATTGAACAATTACAAATTTATTTGATGCTTATAATTGAATAAATGTACAACAAACTTTGTACATCTGTTGGCTTTGTATTAAAAACATGTTACAGAATTTATAAAACAGTATCAAGGCAAGGTTCATGTATTAAGCAGTGAGTACAAAAGTATCAATTATACAATAATTCGCTGGATAAGTAAATGTAATAAACAAGTGCTGCATACAAACAGATTGTTATGGAAGCATTTAACTGCCGTTTAACATATCAATGACACGTGTCTAATGATATGTCATGTATCATTGGGCACTTTTAAATTGGTATACTGAAATTCTCAAACTTTTCTAGAGGGTATACTCCGTATACCTGCGTATCGCGTAGACTACATCACTGCTGTTAATATAAATTCAGGTCCCAGTGGTTTTTGTAGTGGAATGTAATGAAATAAGTAGAGGAATTGTCATCCAGGATGACTTCAGTGGGAGTTTAGGGCCCCTCATCTCCTCCACTGCTTGTTTATGGAGAGGAGGAAGCCACAGATAAGTGAAATCACAGAGGGAGTAAACGTTCAGCTGCTGGAGTTCATGGCTTTGGGAATGTTCAGTATCACTCCAAAGGCTAGTCATGGTGGCAGCTCAATGCAACACTTAATTCTGAAAATTAAAAGGGGAAAAAATGTAAATGCAGATCAAGTTTATAAAAGTATGAAATACAAACTGAGAACAAATCACTTTATTGTGTGTAGAACTGAAAAAAGGATGAATTAACTACTGATATGAACTTGCTTGTAACTCCATACACTGAACATTTATTAATTTATTATTCAAATCTGTGAGTCTTTATGCCTTTAAGGTTTTTTCAAGCAGTAAAGAGCTCTAATAGCTAAAAGTTTAGACTTTTATTATTTTTCTTACCCAGTTCTTCTTTCTCAGCCTTTGTATTGTGGTCATGTTTGTCATTTTTCTCCTTGTGCTTCAGTTTTTTTCTGTCTTCGCTGACATCTGTGGTGTCTGGTTGCTTTTCTTTGACAGAGCTGCTGCTGCTGGTGGAGAGCAGCTTTGTCTGTGTTGGAGTCACTCCGTCTCTCCTCTGCTCCTCCACATTCTCTGCCTCGGTCCATCTCACCACTACCGGGATTGTGAAGTTGAATACTGCAAGACTCGGGGTTGTTGCATTGTCTCCGCACACGTTACCTCCCAGAAAAATCACTGCAGCCAACATGCACAATGGCGTTCCCATCTTGCTTTTTTTCCTTTGCAGCAGAATGTAGAGGGGAGTTCTTATGTCCTGATAGAGCCAATTCTCCTCCTCAGGCCCACCTCCCCTTCTTCACCTCCTCCCCCTCCCTCCTTCCCAAGCAAAATTCCAGTTAAAGCCCCAGGAACATTAGGTCTTAAAAAGGGCAGCTGCAATGTACCTTATTGAACCACAGAGTAAATTTATATTCACAGCTCCTAATTTGACTTTTTAGACAATTTTGTGATCTTTTTAAAACCAAATGTAGTGTTACCAAGTGTAGTGTTCCTTGAAGGAATGCATATCGCCCGCCACCTATCATGCCAGAGTTTTAAGATCATGTTGAGAAATGACTGTGACAGTTTGATCAAGCCTTGAAAATAACATAAAGGGAAATCTCATGCTGTATTGTAAGATGTCATATTCAGAGTATGTTCTGAAGCACTCTCAGTGACTATTTTGTAAAAGAAAAAAATAGCAAAGTGTAGTAGTCAAGGTGGGGGACAGCTTAACTGTCGCTTCACTACTAAAAATTTAAATATAACGGGTTCTTTCTTTTTCAAGTTAAATTAATGCCATGTGACGAGGTAACTGTGTTCATTGTTTAATCAGTGACATGAGATGTTATTTTGTTTGACCCATCAGAATAAATGCGGTCATTTACTTAACAGAATCAAAATTTAACATCAAAACATTGTACACTTGATTAGCTGATCTGGTTCTGATTAATAAAAACTTGGCACGCTTTACTAATAAGACAACAGGACATTTCTGAAGGCATCTAGAAAGATTTACAAAATAGAAGTGTTTAAAGGAAGGAATGGAGAAGTTTAAAGGAGATGGATGAAGGGAGGTGTATGTTTGGATTGACCAGAATTAGCACGCTTCTTTCAACACCAGCTCAAACCTCCGGTACACTTCAGGACATGCAGAGACTTCGTTACCTTAGATGGGGGATACCTCCACTCCGGAACAGAAGTCCATTAGTACGATCCTTTTACAGCGTCTCCGGTCAGGGTGGCTGGGCATCGTCAGAAGTCATGTGGTTTACTCCGTTAAACAGACACGCTTCCTTCGAAGTTGTAGGCGTTACGGCCGGGTGGATTCACAGCAAGGCGCTGTGACTCCGTCAGAGATCCCACTCAGAAGTGGAATACTCACAGACTCCATGAAGACTCCAGTCCAAGACTGGTTCCAAGCCTCAGAAGACTGAAGAAGCCTGAAGAAGCCTAAAGAAGACTCAGAAGAACTACAAGTCTGAAAAGTTCCAGGGAGTGTTGACTTTTAAAAGAGTCCTCACTTCCAGTCACTTAATACTTCCTGATTGGTTGAAACAACCAACTGGGGGTGGTTCTAGTGATGTCAGAGGGTTATTAAAAGTCAAGAGAGGGTTCAGGAATGTTTAGGAACGTTTAGTACAGTGTTTCTCTTTTTACCGTCTGCTAGGTTTAAAAACAAGACAGTCCATTCTAATAACTTGTTTTCTGACCATCTCTGACTTTCGACCGACATCACTACTTCTCATTCAGACAGAAGATCAAAATGCATAATTACTTTGTAAATGGACATTTAACTTGATTTCTAAGTCTAATGAGGTTTGAAAAATCATTAATACTGTTTCACAGTTGATTTAAATGAGTGGTTTACTTTCAACATTAGAAATGATATGAACTAAACACAATTTTGATTATCAAGATATTGTAAAATAGTAATGATAACATAAAAAGAAGAGTGTTCTTTTAATTGATTAATTCAGGATACAATTAGACAGTCGCTGGATGATCTAATTTGTATTTCTGGATTCAAATCAATGAAATAACAGTTCCTGTCCCATGAAGGTCTTCAGAGACAGGTTTTGGTCGGAGGCCGAGTTCACTACAAAACTATCTGGAAACTGGAGTTATAGCCATTTTTGTGTTGATTAAAGTCACTTAGCTGTGGTGGGTATCTTCAAATAAAATGATTCCAAAAGTTAATTTGTTGATGATGTCTGTCCAGTGATTACTTTCTACGAGTTTCAGTTAATTCATTTAAGTGGTCCATGAAATATGTTGTTAGACAAAAAGGGCTGACTTCATAAAGTCCAAAGTTTTAAGTAAAATTATTGCCCATTGTGTAGTTCTCAAAGAACGTGTTGGTAAACATATTTATAAGTAAGTGCAATGTGTTGTCATTGTTGTATGTTCCCATAGAATGGTGAAATTAGTTATCTGCATTTAACCCATCGCACCTGGGATGCATCCAGGTGGGACGGTGGGCAGCTATGTGGGCGCCCGGAAAGCAGTTAGGGATTGGGTGTCTTGTTCAGAGGCACCACAACAAGTGGGAATGGCTGGGGATCGAAGCTGGGACTTTTGGGTCCCGAGTCGGCTCCCCTACCTCTCTACCCAATCTCGGCCCCTAGTGATATTTAGTCACTATCACACTAAATTTCAACAAAATATCTGCAAAACTTGCTGAATTACAGTTATTTTCGTGTTTCCTAAGAATGTGGCTGTGGAAGTCTCATTGAATTGGTTGCCTCTAAAGGTTAATCAGTTGTGGATGCACATTCAGTGATGTTGCCTTAATTTTCATTAAAATCTGTCCAGTGGTTCTTGAGGTATTTTTTGTTAAAATACAAAGTTGTCTAACTACTACCACACCAATTTCTAGCTCAATAACATAAAAACAACTGAGTCATACCCATTTTTGAAGTCATTTACTTTAAAGTGATTACTTTAAAGCCACCATCCTGAACGCTGGCCTTATGCTAGACGGCCTTCCGGCTGCCCTCCTGAATTTCGGCCCTGCTTTGGGCGGCCCCATGGCCACCTGCCTGAACGTGGGACCTGTGCTGGATGGCTTCCCCGCTACCCACCTGTTCTGCTCCAGCCCTGGGATGGCCTCCCAGCTGCCCACCTAAAATTTGGTCTAGTACTGAATGGCCTCCTGGCCACCCACCTTGAACTCTGGTCTGATTAGGGATGGTCCCCCGACTGCCTAAATGTTTTTGTGTGTGTGTGTTCCTTGGTTATGTTTAGTCTAGTTCCCAGGTTTTACCCTGTCGGTTTTTGGTTCTGTCCTTGTGTTTTCCTTGTGCCTCCATCCTTGCGGTTCCCCCCTCCTCCCGCCCAAGTTTTGTGGGGAGGGCTTTTGGAGATGCCTGGGGGCGTCCTTGTGGGGAGGGTACTGTAAGGATGGTGCCCTCTTGTGGTCTCCCTGTGTCTGTACTCCCTAGTGGCTCTCCCTGATTGCCCTGATCTGTTCCCTCTGTGTCTTGTCAAGATTTTTGTAATTAGGCCCTGTTTTGTCTGTGTATTTAGTCTGACTGTTAGTCCTGTTCAGTGTCGGTCCATCATCCAGTAATGCCTCCTGTGTTCCTTGTATCCTGCTGTAAAGATTGTTGTGTTTTTTCTTTATTTCTCCACCCGAGCTCTGTTACCGGTCATCCTGCAGGAGGAGTCAAGACACGCACTCAGAATACGGCAAACGCACCTTCAAGTTTACGAATATTTAATAAGCAAAGAAAGTCAGAAAGTCACAAAGTCAAAAAGTCACAGATTCACAAGCATAAACAGTGGATTAGTTAAATGCAGTCATTATTTTTGTCATAGCTCTGCTCTCTGTCAGCTCCTCTGTCATGCTGCACACTCAGTAATCACTCAACTCATGTCACCTGTCACCGCTCATTATCCCACAGCTCCACCACCTGGTCCAGTCAGTACTTAAG